AATAAAGATTACAACTTTTTTAAACAACACACGAACCCTATTTATTAGTCTCTGTTTACATGAGATCATTGCTTGTGCCGAGGACGCGTTAGTCCGTGGACCGTCACAGATCAGATCCAGTTGACAGAATTATTGATCAGAGCTCTCACTTTACGAAGGAAGCAATCGCTGAAGTATTAATCTCGACCAAGCGAAATCAATACTCTTCTCAAGAGTAAGACCAAGCCTAATCTCAAGGAAGAGGCTACGGGGTTTCAGATCCTTCGAATTCCTCCTTCTTTATGCCGTGATTCGCCAAGATCTGTTAGCCCTCTCTGAAATTCGTAGATCACTCTTCAGTTTGACAGCACCTCACCTTCAAATATTAGATCTGGAGAAATAAGCCCCTAGGCTTGTATTTATAGGGCTTTAGATGCGTGGTATTTGGATAATAACAAAGGATTTGGCCCTATCTTCAGTTGACAATGACCTAACCACGCTTAGAAATGAAGAAATCCCGAGAAAACCTATCAAAACGTGCTTTTGGATACCGATGAGCGGGACAAACACTGGTGACCCGCGTAAGTGCGAGACACCATTTGGTGTCCTACAGTCACGCAGGACACCAGTTGGTGTCTTGTAGCTGCGCGAGACACTAGTTGGTGTTCCGTTGTAGGCATTCAAAAATACCAAATCTCAAAATATGAGAAGGATGGTCAAGAAAACGAACATCATCTCAATCAGAGACGAGGTTTGTCGTTTAGTGAAGATCAACCTCGAGAACACAGGTTATTGAGCAGTAAAACTCGACAACAAATAGTGAAGATCGTAATTGGAAACGAGGTTTGACATTCATCTTCGAAGGATGAGGTTCGTCAGTGAAGATAAAACTCATCGTTGGATTTGAAGCTCGTCAGTGAAGACAAGGTTCATTTAAGGGAAAGTCATCAGGTTTACTACACAGTTAGTTCCAGCTATTGAAGATGAAGTTCGTTGGTGAAGATAAAATTCGTCAGACGAAGTCAGTGAAGACAAAATTCGTCAGAAGAAGCTTATTTACTTCAAAGTACACTTTGTAAGATGAACCTCGCTACGTAACGAGGCTCGTCTTACATGGAAAACCTCGTTTCAATTAAAGATGAAGTTTGTTGTCCACGAGAGATTTAGCTGTAATGGCTTCGAAGACTTAGTCAGCCACGTGTGCTAATCTTCAAGAGCACGTTATGACGTGCGCTGATTTGGAGGAGGTAGTTATGCCCCTCTACCCGTGATCTTAGCACGTCAGTTACGTGCTTAAATGCTATAAATAGCCATGGATGGCTACATGGATAAGGGTTGGAAATTTTTGACTTAGACTTCAAGAAGCATCGGAGATCAGAGTTTCTGTGTACGGATCCGTAGTTCGAACTTTGATTCTAGCCGGCTAACAAACGTGAGAAACTTTAGCGATCTTGTCTTGATCGTCAACGGGAAACAACCTCGACTCAAGCATCAAGGGAAGCATCCTTTCGCTACCAAGAACCCACGTTAAACAAAGAGAAGCTGAATTAATTTTCTCTTCATCTGTAATCGAGAGAGAGCGTGAGTGATTGTAAGGGTTTCGTACCAAGCGATCGAACCTATTTCTTAAAACAAGAGAATCAATCCAACATCAATTTTTTGACCCTACACCCACAGTCACGCGGGACACCATTTGGTGTCCTATAGCCGCGCGAGACACCACTTGGTGTCCTATAGCCGTGCGGGATAGCTCGGGACTTAGCCATATTTTGGCCTTCTGAACTTGTTTTTAGGCGCTCATTAGCTTCTATACTGCATTGGATGACCTTCTTTAATTCAGATAATCCCCTCTGACTTGGATGATGACGTTCATCATCTTCGCTTAGTCTTGAACTATGTGTGAGAACTCATAGGTATTTTTTGATGCCTACAGATACCCCCTCCAAAGTGTTTCAGTCTCATTCTTTTATAGAATTTATAGAAGAGCCTAAAATACTTTAGCTATGATACGCCCAATCTTCAACTCTTGGATTTCTTCAGCTTTCAGTCTATTCGTTAATTTATTAAATAGCTAGAATTTTTCTGGTACTGCATTTATCATCTGACCATTGTCGAAATCATGAATTGAGACTGGTGTGTTGATGTCTGAATTAGCTCATGTCGTTGAATAGACTTTGAACTGATCATCTTTGTCGGGAATTTGTACCTGAATATGATCGAACTCCCTGAAATAATTCTTTCCATTTGAACAATCATCCTGAGACTTATTCTGGCAAAAATCACTAACGTGCTAACCGACATTGACTTTCGCTGTAACGTGTTGACCGGCATTAACATAGTTATACTCGTATGTCTGCTGGAGTCTATAAAGTTTAAGATCTTAAAGCATTAGAGCGGAGAGGACCAGTTTATACTCATATACATATGAAAATACCCCTAAAACTCCTACACGTGCAAGACAGTCTTAGGTGTCTCATACACATGCAAGACAGTCTGATATGTCTCGTACGTGTACGAGATAGCCTTAGGTGTCTCATACACATGTGAGACATTCTGAGCTGTCTCGCACATGTGCGAGACAGCCCAAGCTGTTTTGGTGAGTTCGGAGGGTCGGGTTTCCCCTTTCTTTATTTTAATCTCTTCAGTGTTCTTCTCCTACCCGACTCCCTCCAAAAATTCCAGTCTTCTTCCCTAAATCAAACTCTTCTCACAACCCTTTATAAGAGTTTTGAATCTTCCTTCCCCCTTCTCTTTAAATCCATCGACTTAGTCTTGATTCTTTGATTTGGACAAAAGCTAACATAGGGTTTCTGTTTGCTGAGATCTCTTGAACCTAAGCTTCTCGTTGAGGTTCGCTAGCTTTGAACTCCATACATCTTCGGTTCCAGGTGAGGCTCACTCCCATAGCCACAATGTTGTATGGAGCTATTCCCCAAATCCCAAATTTCAAAAGAGGATTAAAACCTTAATTTGAATTTTAAGATTGGACTTTGAGGGCGGCCTTGTTTCTGCGTTAATTGCATTGTAACCTTGATTTCTTTCTTAAACTCAACAGGAGCTGACACCCATCATTAGTATTCGACGAATTTTGAGGCTCCCTTGCAATCTTTCACCGATTCTTAGCTTCTTCATCGAGGTAAAAAAACTCTTTCATTTTTATGAAAGCTTGGTCTTTTACTCAATTATTGTTTGGGAATTGAGTTTAATTTGGTTCTGGGAACCAAAACTTGAGATGTTTGGTTATGGACAGTTTGGTTTATTCTCTTGCATTCCTTGATTTGAAACTTTAATTTAGTTTTGCATGAGAACCGAGCTTTTGGCTTTAATCGTGGGTATCACGCGATGTTCTTGATTCATTTTCTTTGCTTAGCATGGCCAATCCACTTGCTTGACTTGTGTAAGAACCACGCCTCTTAGCTTAACCCTCGCGTAAGAATTGAGCTTGTATTCGCTCTTTGGTTCTATTCCCAACCATGAATTGAAGCTCTTAACTTAATTGTACGAGGGATATAATAGAGACCCTTGTATGCACGAATTTGGCCGAACTTAGGCTTGTAATCCTAGGGCTTTTAGTCGTGTACGAGAATCAGATTAGTAGGAATGTTGAGCTTTCTTGTTTGGCCACGTGCACGTCTTGAACCAAAACTCTGAGATATTTGGCTTGATTTGTTGCACGATCTGTTATGGATGAAAATCAACCGAAAGCTTCATGTTATCGCATTGGCCTCATGTATTTGCCTTCCCATTGTATAACCTAAATTAGGCCTATCACGTAGGTTTAATTGGACATTTAACCAAAATATCTTATTTTCATAGAATTTCAGTTAAATCTCACAATTTCCTTTTTAATAACTAATCTATGCTTCCTCGATTCTCGATATAACTAAACTGTTAGTTTCTATTGCAGATTAGCTAAGTCGACGAGGAGATCACGTATTCCGAGGTGTCGCTCGACCACTGAGTCACCTGAGAGGGAGCCTCTGTCTTTCGCAGGTAAACTTTTATAAATTTCTACTTGTGAATTTAATATTAGCATATCAGGTTGTATAATGCATCCTCGCATTGTTCTCCTTGGTGAGGTAATTGGGAAGAGCTGACATCCTCCTTCGTGAGGGTCGATGCTTCACAGATGTATTTTTCTTGGTCAAAACGCGTCTTAATCAATTTGGGGTGATTTCCTATTGTATTATACTTCGAAGGACGGGTATATTATCATATTATTCATGTGACAATGTACGTCGTGCTTCGTGTGTATAATGCAATTTAAATCGTCTCGCCTAGTTAATAAGCACCTTTCCTTTTTTCTTAGAAATTCATATGAATATGTTATGTATTATATCCTCACTTTGTTCTCCTTGGTGAGGCAATTTGGAAGAGCCGACATCCTCCTTTGTGAGGGTTAACGCTTAACAGATACATTTTGCTTGGTCAAAACGCATCTTAAAGCAATATAGGGTGATTTCATGCTATATCGCGTTTCGTAGGATGGGGTATATCGTTATGCTATTCGCATGACAATATACGTTATCCTATGTGTACGTGATATGGTTGAGATCGTCTTGCCAATTACAAGGTAATGACTCTATCTCACGGACTTGTGAGATGAGTTCAACGTCTTGTATTGCCTTAATACATTCTTGCAACCTCGTTTAACAAACACAAGTTATTCATTTCAGTTGAATTCCCTTCGAACGCATTCTCTCCTTTTGAGGTCGACAGTCGTAGGGGTGGACATTATGCTAATGCTAATGATCCAATGTTAATCCTGCCCACTCCTCAATTTGCTTTAGACATTCTTGAGGAATTCTCTCGATTGGTGCGAGAGGGGCATCATCATACTTTGCGTTGGCTAATTACCGACACATCCCTTGTAGATAACGAGGATCCAATCTAGCCTTCAAGGAAGATGGATTATTTTTTTGGAGACTCCATTGAAGATCCGGCTGTATCTCTAAAGGATGAGTAATGGTTACATAAGGACATGGTAGGCTACTTATATCTTCCACCAATCCCTCGTCACCGCCAACTGATAGAATTGCGAAAGCAAGCGGTGACACAAGAAATATCATGGAATCTAAAAGAGGATCACACTCATGTCCATTGCGGGTATATCACCAACAAAGCACTCCCAGGCTCAAGCGACATCATGTTATAGGGTTACATCCCGGGGTGTTGGGGTTGGATGAGCCACCCCGTGGTGAATTACTCATAGTTGCCAACACTGTAAGGAATCACCTTGCTGCATTACGGCGAGAGTTACCCGCTGTGGTCACCGATGCTACGGTTGGTCTCACTCTTCGGATAAACTTTGGTGGGCAAGGTTGACCTGAAAGCGGGTAGGTTGTATGAAGCCATCTATGATATAAAGTACGGATTGCCAATTAGCGTTCACCATTTCTTGGCACTGATAGAGCTCTATAATCCAGACTCTAACACTTTCATAACCAGACACGGAGAGTTAGGGCTGCCCCTCCATGAGATGTTTAAAGTTTCTGGCTTGCCAATGGGTGAGATGTCGTACCAGGAGTATTTCCCTCCTAATCGAGAGCTGGAGCAGTTGAAGGCCCATATGTTGGCTAAATTTGATACATTTTGGGAGCTTACTTGTCACTATCGGATGGCACTGGTAGGAGTTAACCCAATAACAAAGAAGAAATCGTCCCAAATAAGTCTGAAGCAGTTCTCCAGCTATTTATTCAAAATTTTGGATAAACCTGATGAGGCTGTTCATGAATTGAAGCCATTAACTCCTTCATAGGTCAACAAGTTGATCACAAGGTCTGGTGCCCGCTCTTATACTAATACCAGTGCCGAAAGTATGTAGGTGTCAAAAATTGCCTATGGGTTCCCGTACGTAGCTCAAGACAAAGAGAAGATGATGAACATCATTATATGAATCAAGAAGAATTATCTAATGTCATAGAGAAGCTAACAAATGTACGAAGCAAGTTGATAAAGCATACAAATCAACGAGATTGTACAATAACGAAGAAGCGACTCGACCTGGGGTTACGTTTCACCCACAAAGGAGTAAGCATCACTCGTGTCTTGCTCATTCTATAGGTGTATTACCTATGGAAAGTTGTATAGATCTTCACAAGCTTTCTAATTCACCTTGGATAACTTTATTCCAAGGTCGGACGAGAGAGTTAGAGCTAAAATACCCAAGATAGTTCAGACTGTTTCGCACCTGTGAGACACCAATTGTGTCTCACACATTTTGCCCACGATATGATTTGAATATGAAGAATCTCAAAAGATAAAAGTTGTAGGTCTCTTTGTTAGCTTTCTAACACATTTTTAATCATCTCATTTCGAGTTTAGATGAAAGAGTTAAGACTAAAATATCCAAGACAATCCAAGCTATCTCAGACATGTGCGAGACAGTCGAAGTGACTCGTGCCTAGGTCAGCTCCCGACGTGTTTTTTGATAATATTAGCTTCTAGAACTCCTTGAGGTCATCCATAAATATGTTGGGTTATCTTTAAATATGTGGAAGCTATTACACAATAAAAAACCCACATAAATGGATAATAATGGTTGTTCTTCGACCCTATCCACAAACACGACATTTAAAATCTATAAATACACCCCTAACACCCTCATAAAGGCAGATCTGAAGGGAGCCACGAATTCCCTAATTCCTTGGTCTTGATCTCGAGAAGAGTCGTAATCTCGCTTGGTCGAGATTATCACTTTAGCGATTACTTCTTTTGTGAAGTAAGAGCTTTAAATAATCACTCTGTCAACCGAATCTGATCTACGATGGTCCACGGATAAACCCCGGTACAGGCAAAGTTTTCTCACAAACAGAGGCTAATAAATAGAAACTGAGTGTTGTTTCAAGGAGATTGTAATTTTATATTTTCATTGTGTTAGAAGATCTTATAAAAAGATTAACTTTCTATTTATTTGAGTTTATTATAATGACTGAAGTTGTAATAGATTCAAGACAATAAAAATAGTAATTTCTGAACCGAACACGCTAGCGACCACAGTGGGAGCCAACAGTCTCATCATCGAGGCTGTCATGCCGCAACCGAAGATCAAGGTCCCGGTTGATTCAGAAGTCGAGTACAAGTTCGACGAAGCTAAATTTGAGGAATATTTCTCCTCGTCTTCATCAAAATATCCTCTCCCTGCAAGTGCGTAAAGATCCCATCTTTGAAGGAGGCGTATTCGTTGATGAATGCTACAAATAACTATGCTCGCCATAACTCCTCTCCAATCAAGGTATGCCAACTCTGACGAAGAGGGCTCCTTAGAGACGGCGCCAATGCCGAGCTCGTCAAACTACTAAGACTTTAGAATTAGTCGATGGAGTTCGCTACTACGTAGACTTAGAGTCTAGGAAGCGTCATTCAATCCAGTCGCCTCAATGGAAAGTTGCTAACAAATCCTCTAAGTCGTCGATGAAAGAATGAATCCTTGTCAAAAGGAATCGTTCAACCTTGAAGGAGCACATCCAAAAGTGACGTGCACGTGCCGCATGCGGGCGTGCCTTTATGCGAAAAGCTTAAGGCATGCGGAAGGAAGAGGAGGTAAAAAAGCCACTGAAATCCAAACAAGTCTGTGTGTAGAAGGCCGAAACAACACCGAAATCAACTCCGTCGGCCTCCTAGCCTACTCATCTTGCTCCCGCACCTCCGGCGAAGCCCTACGGCAGCGTGGATCTATCCAAATTTAAGATTCTGATGAAAGATCATCTGGGTCCTCTACCTAAAGATCGAGGCAAAGCTTCGGTGAATAAAACCCGAGTAGTTCCTTAGGCTGGGGGTCGTACAAACACTCCCGTCAAGCCAAAGGTCGCTCAAAGGTGTTCTGCCGCCTCTAAACAAATTGGGGCACCTCATAGTACGTGTTCGTGCACCGTGCATAAAAGGACTCATGACATTCATTACCTAGGGGTTCGTATTGGAACCCAGGAGCCCGTTAAGACCTCACGCTCGCAAGGGGGTGGTTATAAATGTACGACTCCCGATACGACCCTGGATCATTCAAAGGAGACAACGAATCATCCCAAGAATGCTCTTCATCCTAAAAAGAAAACGTGTTCGTCAAAAAACAACGTTATACTTGGGGTATCATACCAACAAGCGATGGATTGCTCCAATGACCTGCACCATCAGGCTAGGGTGTGAACAAATACCAAAAGAAGGATGTCCAAGAAACTAGCGAAACTAGCTCTCACACTAGTAGAAAAACGATCAACCTAGACGGAAATTTCCGTCTAGGTTGATTGCAATTCCGTCTAGATTGATCAATCTAGACGGAAGTCAACCTAGACGGAATAAAGAATTCCGTCCGGGTTGGAAACCCAGACGGAATTCCGTTCGGGTTGGCAACCCAGATGGAATTCCGTCCGGGTTGGCAACCCAGACGGAATTCCCGTCTGGGTTGCCAACCCGGACGGAATTCCGTCTGGGTTGCCAACCCAGACGGAAATTCCGTCTGGGTTGGTTTTTTACAACCTAGACGGAAATTCCGTCTAGGTTGACTCAATCTAGACGGAATTCCGTCTAGATTGCCTTTTTTCAGGAAAAAAAAGTAATAAAAATTTGTATTTCCCTGTACAATTACATTAATAAATCCAGAAAATACTGTACACGCCACATTCAACCATCCAATCATAATCAAAATTCATAACAATTCCATTCAAAAACATCTATATAACCAAATCCAACACATTGTACAAATCCAACCATCCACTTCAAAATATACATCAATCAGTTCCGTCTAAAACACATCCAACAACATATATACCAACAATGCCAGTGACTAAGATATGATACACGACATGAATAAATGTAGTGTTATAACAAATAAAACTGTTTATTGCATTAAAAATAAAAAAACCTCATCCATCGTCGTCGGCGGGGGTATCTCTATCCCGATTACGAGAACGGGTGCTGCTCCCTCCAATATCTCCACTCTGAATGTTTAATTGAATAATCATTATGTGGTGTTTGATAACATATTAGATAAAAATAAATTTATAAATATAAGAAAAAATAAGGTACCTGAGCACTACTCTGTCTAGCGCCGGAATTATCGCCAATCGAGCTAATGATCCGTATGACACCACCATACGCGCTACAAGGAATAGCACCGTCTAAATATTGTATAACATACCCCATGAGATCGTCCATAGAGTTCGCCGTCAGCGCAACTCTAGTCATCTCATTAGTCACTTGAATATGCAGCTCCGGGTCAATTTTGTCAATCAGATACGCAGAGATACGTGCGACAAATGGCATAGCCTGGAAACTGCTTGTGGCTGCTCTCGTCGATGTAGATGGTGTGGAGGATGTTGTGGACGATCTGATGCTTATACCAGATGAAGCTCTGACACCATGCAGAGGATATCTTCCTCTCCTATTATTAGGGAGAAATAAATATTAAACTTTGCTCTCAAATTCAATAATGGTAAACAAATATAAATAGTATGTAGTATTCAAATTGATTCGATTTTTCACCATCCTTACCTATTATGACCCATCAGGTTCTGTGTGAGATTGATGTTCTCCTCTGCAGAAAGCATGTGAGGGTCTGGCTCGGTTTGTTCCTCCTCCTGCGAAATGTACACAGATGCAGCCTCCTTGGATGCAGTCTCAAATCCCTCCTAAAGCACAAATTTATAGTTAATTCAAGATAATGACCATATTATTTGTGTTCTCGTTTCCTCGTAATGTTAACAAAATAGAATTAATAATACTACTCAAGATATGTATAAGTCTCACCACTAACTCGAGATTTGCCGTGATCTTATCCCGATTCCTCTCATCACCCCTATATTGTTCACGAAAAGTACCATATGCCGCTCTGGCCCTCAAGTGTATCGGCATTAATGATTTCCCCTGTCATATTATAAATTATGAGATTTCATAATCATACTAAACATTAAGATGCTGGGTAAGATGGATACCTGCATCGGGGGATGGTTCTGGTGCTGCATCAGAGGGGCCGGGTGATGAATATCTAGCATCTACAACAAATGAACACTATGAGCTAGATAACTAAAAATTTATAAAACATGTTAAAGTATTAATTAATTTTTATACCTGCATCCGGAGATGGTAGTGGATCATCAGCACCACTACCTGGGGTGATACTCCGTGAGCGATCACCCTCCAGGTCAAAGAGCCTCCTCATCCTCCTCCTCATCTGCAAATATAATAAAGACAATCGTTATGAAAAAATTGTATACATGCTCATGAGATATGTTGTTATGAAATGCATTATTGTTTTTATTATGATAAGATAAAAATCGATAATGTGGTGTAACATATCAGGTTCATACCTACATCCAGCGCCACATTCTGTGCGTAAGAGAATTCTTACCAAACATCATCAGATGAACCGATTGGTTTACTATAATTATCTTCACTTTCTTCAATATTTTTTTCATTGTTATTAGGAAGAACAACAGATCTTGGCTCCTTGTACAAAACCACCCAATCATACATGACATTCGGATCTTTCACATAGAAGCACTGATCAGCTTGTTCTGCGAAAATGAATTTCTCATCCGTATATACTTCTCGGTGAAGATTGACTAGTGTAAATCCATAATGATCCTTTTGCTTTTTTGCAGGACACCACCGAACCTTGAACATCGTGTAAGTACATTGTTTTGGTTTACCAAACCCGTAAATTACCTCAACGATATCTTCTAATTGGCCATAATATAATATGTCAGCTAGAATTGGATTCTGATCTCTTATACTTGAAAAACATTCTTGAGCAAATAAACCCATGACCCCACTGTTCTGGGTTACCCTCCTATCATCGGTCTCTAGCGTTCGAAATTTATATCCATTGACCAAATGCTCATTATAACGTCTCACTTCCATGGATAATAATTTCATCTGGTAATGTAGTATCATCAAGAAGTGATTTTTCAACCTAAGACAAACAATTTGAGAATATTTAGGCGATGTTATATTATGAATGTTCAATAATTAATTGTAAAACACTTACATCAAATCTTAACCAATCAGAAAATTCTTTCTTATGTCTTTACTGAATATTGTGCGCTGCATTCCTACCGGTTGTTTCATTCTTAAGCTTCTCTAGATGTTGCCTATATAAACAATATATAAATTTGTATTGATAAACTATATATAAAATGAATATTTCTCATCTATATTACAGATTTTCTTTGTTACCTTCGATAGTCTTCGAACATATCAAGGTTTTCCAACACATATGCATGAATTTGATCTAAGAGAGATCTCGGGTATTTTTCACGCTTCCTCTCCTTTTGAGGTGCTTGAGATGTGGTTTTCTTCTTACGCATGTAACGTGATGCAAACACAAAGCATTCGTTAGCCACGTATCCTTCAGCTATCGAGCCCTCGAGACGAGCTCGATTGCGAACATTGTTTTTCATGCAGCCTAAGTATCTTATAATCATAAAAGTTAATTATTAGCACGGTAATTTGAAAAACGCGTATACAATTAATAAATATAAGAAAAATCATAAATTACCTTTCAATCGGATACATCCAACGATAAGTAACAGGACCGGCGATTCTAGCCTCTCTTGCAAGATGCTGGGTAAGATGGACCATAATTGTAAAAAATGAAGGAGGGAATATTACTTCCATATTGCATAGAGTAACTCGGACATCGGCTTCAAGTTTCTTAAAGTCATCTACATCTATGACTTTAGAGCATAATTTTCTGAAAAATCCACAATACTCAATAATAATCTTCGACGCTTCTTTATCCATATTGGTTACGGATTGCAACAGGGAGCAATTGATGAGAAGAACGTGATAATCATGTGTCTTCAGACCTAAGAGTTTTCTCTCTTGCACCTGGACATTATTTGAAATGTTAGCAGAGTAACCATCCGGCGACTTTACCGATTTGAGAATTTCACAAACTCGTTGAATCTGCTCATTTGACATTGTAACACGAGACGGAGGAAACTTTAATTTTTTAAGGCCAACGTCTTGAGCTTGCAAATCATTTCGGATATTCAAAGCAGTCAGATCTTGGCGCGCCCGTAGATCATCCTTCGACTTGTTTGCATCTTGTAGGAGAGTTGATACTATGTTATCACATATATTTTTCTCAATATGCATAACATCTAAGTTGTGTCGGATTTTTAGATTCTGCCAGTAAGGTAGCTGAAAGAAGATACTAAATTTAGTCCATCCTCTAGGTAATGTTTGGGCTTCGTCCTCAACTTGCATTTTACGGACCTTTCGCTTACGCTTCAATGGCTTTTTTAACTTTAAGTAATCTCTTACTCCGAGCGTGTTAAATTTAGAATAGCGTTTTTTCCCAAACACAACTTTTGGAAACCCCTCAAGTAATTGAACGATCTCAGTACCTGTCAGTTGACGCGGCTTCATTCTTTTCTCAACTGTACCATCAAACTTAGCTGATAATTTTCTGTACTTATGACTCAAGGGCAACCACCTTCGATTAAACCAATAACAACTCTTTCGGCTATGTGGTAATTGAATAGCTTCAAATTCTGGACCACATACAGGACAAGCACACTTGCCCTTCGTAGAGTACCCTGACAGATTAGCATAAGCTGGAAAATCATTAATCGTCCATAGTAGAATAGCACGTAATCTAAACGACTCTTTTAAATGGGCATCATATGCTAAAATACCCTCAGACCATAATTGTTTTAGCTCATCAATTAGAGGCTCTAAGTAGACATCAATATCATTTCCCGGAGCATGCTTACCGGGTATCAGTAATGAAAGTATCATAAACGGCTGTTTCATACAAAGCAATGGAGGTAAATTATATGGCATTAATACAACTGGCCACGTAGACCAGCCAGAGCTCATTACCCCAAATGGATTGAATCCGTCGCTTGATAGACCCAATCTTACATTTCTGCAATCTTCGGCAAAACGAGGATAAATTTTATCAACATGCTTCCAAGCTAAAGCATCAGCAGGATGTCTCAATTTACCATCGTCTACTCGATCATCCTTATGCCACCTCATATTCTTTGCCGTTTCCTTGTTCATGTATAATCTTCGCAATCTAGGAGCCAATGGAAAATGTCGAAGCACTTTGACTGGAATTTTCTTCTGTGTTATCCCTGTCTCCGTTGTAATCCTTGTTGAAGAATTTGTGCGCTGTTTCCACCTAGAAACTCCACATGTCGGACACTCTTGAAGGTCTTTATTGGCTTTGTGGTACAAAATACAATCATTCGGACATGCATCAATCTTATTATAATCAAGACCCAGAGCAGAGACAATCTTCTCAGCTTGATAAGTTGTTTGGGGTATGCTATTCTCTCCTCCAGGGATTACAGTCCGAAGCAAATCAAGAAGCATTTCAAAATAATTATCTGACATACCGCTAAGTGTCTTAATATGAAGGAGTTTCAGCATAAATGAAAATCTGGAGTACTCGGTACATCCCTCATATAAGTCCTTTTCACTATCTTCTAGTAGCTCCATTATTCGCTTTATTTCTGCGGAGGAATGCATATCATCAATATTTTCGACACTCGCGACACCTCCTACCTCTTCGGCTTCAACTTCGTTATCATCTTCACTTTTGTCTCCAATATCATCCTCGACATTATCATCAACATCATATTCTGTAGGTCGAGGAAAAATATCATTCAACAATGTTTCTGTGTCATCTATTCGTTGGCCACCGGACGTACCAACATGCATATTTGGATCATCATCTTCAGTGATACCCTCCCCATGCCAGTTCCAGTATTTATATTTCTCATCAAAACCTGATTTTATTAGGTGAATCCGTATATCATTTCTATTCAGCAGCTTCAAATTCCTACACCTACAACAAGGACAGTACATAGCACCGCTTCTTAAATTTCTCGGATTCATTTCCGCATAACGCATGAAGGCTTCACATCCCTCCTTGTATCGTGTGTCATGAAATCTACGATGCCTAGGGATATCTATCCATGATTTATCAGGAATTATCCTCATCTGTAAATTATATATAAATATTAAATACGATTAGTCTCACAACTACTAATACATCCATTACTCTTATACATTCAACACACATCAAACATACGTTCATATATCATTTAACAATATGAATATTTATCTACATAAAATATATATAAAACATACGTAAAAACTAATTACACTAATCTTGCGGCTGTCATAGGAAGACTTCTATCCATTAAGAATATAGTAGTGCCTACATCCAACTTCATATACTTTGTATATTTTCATTTCTTGAAAATTTCGGCAGCACCTACCCGCTGTTCTCCCTGTACACTGTGCGGATGTTATTATGCGTATCAGTAATAACCCGAAACGCAGAACAACATACGCTTATTGTACACGGAGAACAACGAATAGGTGCTGCCAAAACTTTCAAGAATGAAAATATACAAAGTATACAAAGTTGGATGTATGCACTACTATATTCCTAACCCGTCCGAGAAGGACAGATCCAATAATTACGAATTTCAGTACCAATTTTTTATTCCTATAATATAAAATAAACGCTCATTTTTGGGAGAAAACTTCGTCTCCTACCCAAATCTGAGTCGTATATCATATATTATAAGTCCAAATAATTGGATGTAATTATTGGACGGAAGTCTAGGGATAACGTTATTTTTTTATTCACCTAAATTGGATTATAACACATTATAAAAATTTATAATGTGTTATATATCACTCTATTTTTTACAAAAAATTATTTCACATATTTTCACATCACAAACTTAAATAATCACACATACTTATAGCACGAATGAAACTTAAATGAGTTAGGGTTTATAAGTGTTTAAAACTCAATAATGATAACTAGTGTTGTTCAAATGAATTAACATGTATTTAATTAAGTTAGGATTTTCAGAATTGAACTCGTTTATTTTTCAACATAATTAGGGTTTTTAACCAAATTCAACAATAATTAATAATAAAATTAAAATTTCTAAAGCTCAGTAGAAAAATCATACCTTTTAAACTGATTCAACAACGGACACGCCGGGGAGGCTCGGGAGGGTGGAGGTCGGGAGGGGGGGCTGCCGATTGAAG